GAAAACCTTGATGAAATGCACTATATTAGTCCAGAAACATAAGAAAACCTTGATGAAATGCACTATATTAGTCCAGAAACATAAGAAAACCTTGATGAAATGCATTATATTAGTCCAGAAACATAAGAAAACCTTGATTAAATGCATTATATGAGTCCAGAAACATAAGAAAACCTTGAAGAAATGCATTATATCAGTCCAGAAACATAAGAAAACCTTGATGAAATGCATTATATCAGTCCAGAAACATAAGAAAACCTTGAAGAAATGCATTATATCAGACCGGAAACATAAAGTGTTTATATAACTTGATCAGTTACATGTGTTGCTACACGTGGTGTTTATATAATTTGATCAGTTACATGTGTTGCTACACGTAGTGTTTATATAACTCGACCAGTTACATGTGTTGCTACACCTAGGGCTTATATAACTTGATCAGTTACATGTGTTGCTACACGTAGTGTTTATAATCAACAAAACATTGAATCAGTTGAAAGAGACGAAATCAAGATAACTATATAAGCTTCTTGTGATTTGTGTTTTAAAATAATCGATGTAATGTGTGAATACACAAACAGTGCCAATAGTAAAGTAAGAACAAGCTGGAGGTTAGAAAAGGAATCTCTACGTTTTCGGTTTTTAGCTGCTTCAGTTTCGGAGTAACGACATTTGGAAACTTTAAGCTCCTGAAAGCTTTGCGTCACGATTTTTAATGCCGTGTAGACAAATACAATAAAAAACATTAAGTACAAAAGTTTGAATTAAAGCACCAACAATCAGGAATATGCAGAATATCCACCAAATAATACAGAAGCAAGTTAAAATCAGATATTCTATGCGCTATATTGTTTAATAAAACCATTTTACATTTCAGTCATACAAAATACAATAAAACACAACTACGAAGTTACCGAAAACCTAGAGACGCCCAGGCCTACAATGTCTTACAATTATAAGTCTTGGCATTAACTAACATGCTTTATTCGAAAAGCATTCTGGAAAAGCCAAATGTCAATATTGTACATTATTAAACCAGTCTTAGCCGATTGGTTCTAACGATTTTGTTCGCCCAAGGATGAATACGCTCATGGGGAAAGATCAACAAAGCATTTTGGAAACACTCTTAAGACTCCACTCAGAAAAAAAAAAAAAATAAGAGCCCCCGGATGTGTATTTCATAGACAAATGTAGCTGAAAGTTTTATATGAGGATGGTTTAATGTGTCAGAAAATGTGGCTTTTCACATCGAAGAACAGACTGTACAATTATGTGATAATCTTCTAATGTTTCCGGACTGATATAATGCATTTCTTCAAGGTTTTCACGTGTAGCAACACATGTAACTGATCAAGTTATATAAGCACTAGGTGTAGCAACACATGTAACTGATCAAATTATATAAACACTACTTGTATAACAACACATGTAACTGGTCGAGTTATATAAACACTACGTGTATAACAACACGTGTAACTGATCAAGTTATATAAACATTACGTGTATAAACACATGTAGCTAATCAAGTTATATAAACACTACGTGTAGCAACACATGTAATTAATCAAGTTATATAAATACTATGTGCAACAACACATGTAGCTGATCACGTCATGTCTTTATAACCCAATAAACCTGTAACACTACATTCATATATGATGATAGTTTGAAATTATTTCGAAGAAGATGAATACATTTATCTGTAATGACCTTCGTCAGCTAGAATGTCTACAAGTGTAGTTACATTCTACCGTATAAAACGTATTGATTACACAATGGTGACTTCAGAACACACCACTATCTTATAATGTTAATATAGCCAGCGGTGCTTCCGCTTAAAGAAATAGTGCAAGTTAAAGCATAATATTTTCATTTAAAAACTGTATTATATTAAACGATGACTTAGTAGAGCGTATAGATACGTAATTTTAACACGTTGTGATGAGAAAACAAAATATTTTCACTTAACCAATTTCTTCTGGTTTGGAAAACAGGTCAAAAATTGGATAAATTATCCAAATCCGATTTACTCAAGTGTAAAGTTTTAAACTTTTCTTTTTCTTCATAGCTAATTTATGATGCTGCTCTTCCCCCCAGGACACAGCGGTATCAACCAGTTGGGAGGAATCTATGTCAACGGACGGCCGTTACCAGACTCCACACGTCAGAAGATCGTAGAACTGGCCCACAGTGGTGCTAGACCCTGCGATATTTCACGAATCCTTCAGGTGTCTAACGGCTGCGTTTCCAAGATCCTAGGCCGATATTACGAGACCGGGTCCATTCGGCCCCGGGCCATCGGTGGGAGCAAACCTCGAGTGGCAACTCCCGATGTTGTGAGCAATATCGCCCAATACAAAAGGGAATGCCCTTCTATTTTTGCCTGGGAGATTCGAGATAGATTGTTATCCGACGGGATATGCACTAACGACAACGTCCCAAGTGTAAGTGTGAAGATTTTATTAACATCCCTGTAATGCTTTCTGGTTACAACGTTCTAAGTGTAAGTGTGAAGATTTCGTTAACACCCCTGTAATGCTTTCTGGTTACAACGTTCTAAGTGTAAGTGTGAAGATTTCGTTAACACCCCTGTAATGCTTTCTGGTTACAACGTTCTAAGTGT